GTAAAACGGCAGATGTTTTATAACCTAAAAGGCCCGTTTACACTTTCTGCTGCGATTTTCTTCTTCTGACGGATGTGAACGAGTTATTATATGTTCAGATGAGGGTACATCAGCGAGACATAAGCAGTGAACTCAGAAGAAATTCGCACTAAACCGAGCCGCAGCAAAAACTGCAAGTGCATGTTATAATAAAGCCTGGTTCACTATACATATGCCTGCGCTATCATTGTTCCAGGGTTCTTACAGGCACAGAATAGGAAGTTATAGCAGAAGCGTAACTCTATAGCAGTCGTTTCCCTTATTGTTTGACGTCCACGAAAATTTTAACTCGCTCACGCCAATCCACGTCATCCTGGCTAGTACAACCGGAAGTTTTTATCAGGTTTTGGTAGCTACAAAGTGCCGGTTGTACTAGCCAGGATGGCGTGATTGATGACGAATCGCTTGTAAAAACGCGGACAAATACTTGCTTGAGTTACGCTTCTGCTATACCTTCCTATTCTGTGGTACAGGCACAGAGTAGAGACATACAGAGACGTAACTAGTGTACCCACTTTTTTTGTGCGCATGCTCGGCAAGTTACTAGATGCATGCATCTGATTGGATGACGACCTGATGACGACTCACTTTAAACTTGCTGAGCACGCGCAGTTGATCATTTTTCACCCGGTCGCCTGAAAAAAAGTGGGTACATGATAACGTAATCTTCCGCAGTGTTTACAACGGTCAGTTACGTCTCTGCAGTATGTCTCTACTCTGTGGTACAGGTCAGGAAGAGTTAAATTCAAGGACTTTTCAAGGACATTCAAGGCCATGTATCAGCAACTTCAAAGACTAAATACTGAAGAAGAAGGCGTTAGAAATCAGCAAAATCTGACGTTGAACTGTTCAAAACGTAACTTTATAATAAGGTCAGATATGAACATGCAAAATCAGTTCAACAAAATGTCCGTCTTGAATGTCAAACAATTTCAGAAAATATCCAAAAACTAAAGCAAGAAGAATTCAAGGACATTCAAGTACTTCTTTACAAATTCAAGGACATTCAAAGCCTTGAATTTTTGTTTTCAAATTCAAGGACATTCAAGTCAAGGACTTTCAAGTTTTGTACGAACCCTGTTGTTCACAGCTGTTGATGCAATATAGATCTATTTTTTGCACAGTTTTCAATGCTTTCCTCGTCTGTGCACAAAATTCATACAACGCGCAAATAACAATGCTAAATTTCAGGATTTAGCCCCTAGCCTCAGCACGAGCGAGATCATAAATAGTTGCAACTTGCAATAAAATCAGACTTAATTATGCATTTTACAATGTAAAAAGGTTTTTTCACGCGAATTCTTAAAAACGCGCATCAACATTACCCCGCTTATTCTGTGACTTTGTTGCAATTTGCAGCTAACTTTGAAAATCATTCTTATACGCCGGATATACAGTATGAGGATCATACACGCGTAAAAATTGAGAAAATCAACAACTTGTTGCAAGTTGATTTCGACAGGCGTGAACAATGTTGTGCGGCCCACTATGAAGAGTATTGTCAACATGTTGTTGCAGCATTGTTCAACTGTAACAACTTGGAACAACATAGTTGAGAACTTGTTCATAGTTGGCCGCACAACATTGTTCACGCCTGTCGATATCAACTTGCAACAACCTGTGCGTTTTTAGCCGTGTATGAACTGTATAAAAAATTAAATATATTGTCCAGTACTTTGTGTCTCTGTATTTGAACGGTATATACACCGCGTTAAAATTAAGAAAACCTAATATTCTCGAAAACTATTAAAAGACTCCACTCAAATTATGATCACGACTGTAGTGTCTCGCCCGAATGTTACCATGTTAATTTAAAAGAATCATCACAACTGTTCAGCGTAGTAAAAAAGTTGATCCGTCGTGAGAGAAGGCGATTGGCTAACTTTCAGGAATTTGTGTTTGGCGTATTTATTCGTAACCGCTGTGAGTTTTGAATCCTTGTTCTTAGCCTTGATAACCAACTGTGCAATTCTCACGCAAGGTTTGACCGTGCGTTCTGAGTGCATTTAAAAATGCAACCCTTCCTGGTTTAATCTCGTTACTAGAAAAAACAAAACAAAACAGCATTGCCTTATTCAGTTAATGCACTAGTCAATTGAAACCCCGGCCCCCCGACCCCCGGGACAGGGCGGGGAATTAACGGGGGAATGGCCGTGGATTAACGCGGGTTTAATGCACCATTTCCCCCGGGGTACAGGGGAAATAACAAGTCAATTTATTAGCCGGGACTTTAACGCGCGGCTGATACGAAAGTGGACTGAAACGTGTTTATCGTCGTGGCAACATGGCGGAATCTTCGAAGTCAGAGAAGATATTTTATAAAATTTGTCCGTTTTATCATTGTTTCCTCATAGTTTTTCTTAAAAAAAAGGAATATATTTTCACTTTCCTGATGATGACTACAAAATAGTCGAAATTAACGTAGACTTATTCAGTATCTTTTGATGCGGATCAAAGTTTAAGATCAAGAATTGCCTTCACATGTTGTGAACATTTTATACTTCAACGATTTCCCATTTCCCAAGTCATGAAAATTTGCAAAGTGCCGGGCCATAGGGGCGGTAACTTTAACAGTCAATATTCCCCCGGTGGCGGGGAAATTACCAAAGTTTAACATTGTCAAAATGTTAATTTCCCCGCTCTTTCCCGGGGGTCGGGGGGCCGGGGTTTCAATTGACTAGTGCATAACGCTCATTCATAATGCCTTATTCAGTTAACGCTCGCATGCCTAGTTACCACTGTTCTGATAATGTAAACATAGAATAGAACAAAGTTAACCAAGCATTTAGATTATATATGTGAGATTGTGAGTGAATTTGGTGGGATAACTCACATGTCTAGTACTCTTGGTTGTATACCATTTACATGGAAATTCCGGTGATTCCATACGGAAAGTAACTGGAACAAGCATATTTCGACGGCCCAACCGGAACTTTTCCGGAATAAACGGTTTGTTTGAAAAGGTTGTCCTCTCTTACCGATTGGAAAGTTTCAACCGGTAAATGTTGTTCCATTTACACTTTCAAAATTTTTTTCACCAGTTCCAGGCTCTTCGCGATTTAACAATTGAAATTATTAAATGGAAAGCACATAATCCGAATGGGATTTTCTATCCGAAATTTCGCTTACCATTAGCACAATTTCAAACCGGATGGGTTTTACATGTAAATGGTAAACAACCCTTGTTACCACTGTTGTGATAATGGACAGATTTAGATCGAGGACGCGGACGTCAAAGACGACGTGAAAACGGTGTGACGTGAAAACGGTCAACGGTGTGGTCCTCGATCTAAATCTGTCTAATGTAAGCACAGAATGGAGTACAAGTAACCTTGAATTAATGGCAATGAAAAAGCTGATTACGGCTAACGTTCTTAATAACAAGCAATACGGTTTTTGTACCTGTAAAACGTATGATGTTCTATAGCACATTTCCATAAATGCTTGCAAGCACCGTAGTCTGGAAGCCGGAATTCGTAGTTTGCTTCGCGCTGAAACATTTTCCAAACATAAAATATTTGAAGTAAGTAACACACCTCTTCCGACATTAAATTGTAAGTAAGTTTACACGAAACAACACGAACTAACCTCTTCCTTTTGAATTTGGACATAGAAAACTCTACTGTCGTAGGAAATTTTTAACACGTCCCCCCTGAAAGCATATTGGATGTTATGTTAACCGTGGCATCAAATACACCAAC